CTTCCTGATCTGGTAACTGGAGAGTAGGAGCTTTGATCGGGCTGTCAGCCTGCTACTGCTTTTCTTTCCTTTGGGGGATTTGAGTATCCCAGTGCTTTCTCTCCCATCTATTCCCACTGTCCCTGTGAGTCTTGGACACGATGGTTCTCCTCTCTTGCTTGGATGTGCTGATGGAGGGGCTCTGGGGGAGGCTGATGTCTCTGCTTGCTCCATAACTAGGTGTGCTGGGAAGAATAGGGGAGGTTTTCCCAGTTGCCCTTCCCCAGATCCAGAAGACCTAGTTTTGAGGAAACATGGTGTTTGGATCTACCTCACCTCACGCTGGTGAGAAGGTGGCAATGTCTATGTGCGGACACTGGCCTGGCAAGGACAAGCCAGTTCCTAAAGGCAGGAGGGCCAGATCTGGATCCATGCATCTATGAAGGTCTTCAGTCTCTCTAACCTCCTCCCTCCCCCTTCCTAGCAGAGAAATTAATGTTAACTTTCCTGGCTGTTCATCTTTTCCTTGTTATTCTGTGCAGGGCAAGACAGGCAAATGCAATAAGATTTAGAGCCTTTTACATACATAAATCAAATTCTGAATCTGTATCAGTTAATTATGATGATTCAGTGCCCTGCACAGCTGGCAGCTCCCTGCAGACCCCTCTCCACTGGCTGGGCCAGGGCTGGTAAAGATGGCCAGATACACCAACTCCTTGTCTAATCATGTTTCCTTTCAATTACAGCTCCTGATGACTAAAGTCCAGGAAGCACTTCATGTGCCTGCAGGGGGGTTTGGAATAAGCCTCAGCTGTATGCTAGCAACACAGGCAGGAGGCAATGGACCACTTCTGAATCCAGAGTAAAAAGTGGGCCAAACCAGTGTCAAAGACAGCGGTGATGTGGACGATGGTGTCAGTTAACAGCTTGGTGCAACTTAGCTGATGAGCTCAAGTGATGAAGATGTGCAATTGGCACCACTCTGGTAATGTGGGGGTGTGGAAACAAGAAACGCTTATACAGTGAGAGGGGAGGAAGGAAAAGGGCAGGGGCAGAGGGCTAACAGGGAGGAACTAACAGAGGTGGCCAGATAAAGCAGAAGGAGCTTTAACTCCCTTTGCCCATGGCGTAGTTGCTGGAGGAGGAGTGAAGGGGATCCAGCTCCTACTGACCCTGCCTGTGCTTCCATATTCTTCTGGCTCCAGAGGAGGGGACACCAGGCCCTCACCCATCGCTCACTCCCACCATCCTGCACTGGAGGCAAAAACTTAACTGCAATCTGCTCAAAAGGCATCATGATGCATTGATATTTCTTTCCCACTATGGTGACAAACTCCCTCCAGTTTCTTTCTTCCCAGCTGCGATGCCCCATCTCCAGACCATGAAGCCAAGCTGGGAAGTGTCTGGGGACATCCTTGTGCCCCTTCAGCCCTGAATTTTCTGCTGGCAGTCCACAAATGCTCCTGCATTGATTACTGCCTTTCATCTCTTTGTTCAAAGCCTGGTGTCTTCATTGCAGCTTTTGCCCAACAGGTCTTTCATCATGATGCTGCATTTTATTCATTCCTTTTGGTGTGCGTATTGATGGCTAAACTCCTCCTTTTTGGTCCTCACTTGAGATAAAACTGCATTAAAAATGGAGGTTTTCCAGGCTTTTCCACTGCAAGGAGAGAACTCTCTATTTTCTTTTGTTTTGCAGGATTGAGGAAGGCTACAAGAGTCTCACATCATCCTCCGAAAAGATGCGGTGAGATGCTTCGACTGCCTTCCTGCAAAGGCCAGCTACTTCTGAAGCCATCTGAAGAGCTTGTGCTGGCATGTATAGCAGTGACCCCATAGCTCCTGCTTGTGCCAGCCTCCCTTGTGGAGCCCAGTCCTGCCCTGCTGCTCACCTGGGCCCAGAGGAGCAGAAAGAGGGTCTCCAGGCAAAAAAAAAAGATGGAACAGTTTATAATGTCACTTTCTAGCATGTCCCAGCATGGTTTGTCCATGTTTCTCCTCTCTGCTGTCAGCTGGAGTAACCCTGACCCCCCCATCCTGCGAGGCACTGCATCTCCCTTTAGCATCCTCCTGCAGACTGCTGAGAGTGGGACACCGAGGGAGGATCAGTGGAGCCGGGCCGCCTCCTGCGAGCCCCGAGCGAGCGCGTCCCTTGTCAAAGCCAGCTCTTCCCTCTGGGATGTGCCACGCTGCAGCACAGCCAGGAAGCGCCTTTCCCCTCAGCAGCGGTGGGCGTGATGTCTCCCAACTCACCCCTGGGGCACTGGGAGCTTTCTGTGGAAAGGAAAGCCTATGTGGGAAGCCCTGGGGAGAAGGGGGATTAGCTGATGGTTATTTTTAAGTGATAAGTTGAGAGGATCTCTGGGGTGAGGTAGGAAGCTCTGGGTTAGCGTTACATGCCGATGACGCATCGGTGTTCCTCGGTGTGAAAGCTGAGGGAGCGAGAATGCCATCCCGCTTGCTGTGCTCTTGCTGGTGTCGCAGAGCTGGCCAGGGACCTCATGGTGGCACCCCTGTCCCCTCCATGCCAGGGGTGCCAATGCCTGTTTATCTTCTCCCGACTTCAGCATCACCCAGCTACTCTCCTGTGTCTAGTTTTCCTGTTTTCTCCATCTCGGGGTGGGGAGGATAGTCTAGTGCATGGGAACCATGCTAGAAAGGGGAGAAAAGCAGGGCAGAGTCCCTGTCTCAGGAGAGAAGCAAGTCTCTTCCCTTCCCCTCCTGCTTTGTCCTTAGCCTTCCAAAAGCTTACTGGAGTCATCTGTGGGATATGTCCAGTGGCCCAGTTCTCCTCGGTTCAACTGCTAGCATCCAGGGAGAGATGGAAAATGGGTGGAGAATACCCTGCAGCCCTGATCCTTCTGGTGCCCTGCAATGCAAAGCTCTGATTTTGCCCTGAGACCTGCTGCAGTGCTACCCTTCTCGTGCGCTCTGCCACCTGGAAGGCACTTTTTAAAATGCTATGCATATTTAACAAGTTTTCTCCATGAAGGACTACAAGGTTTGAGCAAGCTGGTTCTGGGGGAAATCAAAAGACATGGCTGACAGATGGGTTTTGCTAGAGGAGCATTGAAGTGGGAGGTAACTCCTGCTTTGCTCTGCTTCCCAGCTCCCAAAGTGCCTCTGTGCTGCAGCTGCAAAGCAAATGTACAGTTTTCCTCCTGCTTTGGGGAGACAAAGCTTCATTCTGCTCCCATCTTCCACTGGCCTTGTCCTTTGCACAATAGCTGGGGAAAAAGTTTCGAGTTCTGTGTTTTCAGGAGGAGTTTTGGGTCAGATGCATTAGTAAGCATCACATACAACTGCTGTGTAACTTGTGTGTCTCCTCCAGGTAAAGGTAATCTGGAGAATGCTACAGCATCAAAATGGTTCTTGAACAGGAGCACCCTGCTTTCAGGTAACTTCTGGAGGTGCAAGCACAGATTTTCCCCGTGGGATACTGGGAAGCAAGGGAGTCTCCAGTAACGCTGCCCTTAACCCAGCCCAGGTAAACATCTTCCAGGGCTGGCCCTGCCCAGGGCAAGAGAAGAAATATCATTACTGCTCCTGGTCCTTTCCAGACCTATTTTTCTGTGGGTGTCTGCCTCTAACCCTCATGGCAGGGACCCCTTTGGATCTGATGCCACCAGAAGTGGAGATCTGAGCGCCATCTGGAAGAGCGCAAGCCAGCTGAGCCTCTCCACAGCCCTGAAAACCTCCCCACCACTGTCACCAGTGGGAACGCTATGGAGGCTGAACCCTTCCGGGCGAATGCTCCAGGGATCTTGCAAAGCACCAAAACGCAAGCTTGCTCATCGCCCCAGTCTCTAAAGCCATCAGCAAAACCATCCTCAGTGCAAAACCCTGCTGGAAGCTCTCTTAACCAGCTATCCCCAGCATCCTTCCCCTGCAACATCCTTCAGCTACAGCTTACGCGGAGGGCTCTGCTTTCTGACTTGCCCCTCAGCTGCCCCACGTAGCCGAGGCATGTGGGGCAGCTCTCGGGCCTGAGGTACCTGCCAGCTCGCTGATGCCATCTGCACCTGAGCCCTGTCAGCAGCACGTGCTCAGCTGAGCGTGCTCTTTGACCTGGCCCAAGTTGCTCAGGTTTCCTCGTAAGCAGATAGTGCTGCTGCCTCCTAGCAGCCCTGAGCCACTAAAACAAGTCCCCAGTGCTGTGGGAGACGGCTGCTGTGGTGGAAACCTCCTGTGCTTCGCAGCAGGGAAGGAGCTGCACCCCGGCCTCGCAGGGGAAGCACCAGACAGTGCTCACGGACCAGTGGGTCTGCAGATGTTGACAGCTTGGTCTGTCCTCTGTAAGCCCCTGCCTATGGGCAGCCTTGGAGAGCCACCAGGGTCCTGTCTCTGTGTGTGCAGGGAGCATGTTGGAAGAGATGTCCTGCTTCTCCCCCAGGTGAACTTTAGTTTCAGCAGTGTTGCAGTGGGACCAATGGGGAAATATCTGTTCTCTATGGGAAGGGTTTGCACCTGCTGTCCCCATCAGGACCTTGGCTCCCAGGTCCCTCACCAGTGGAAGGACAGCCTTGAAGTTAAACCCAGCATGGACTGGGGGGAGAAGCCCAGGATCTATCCTTAAACCCAGCACCAGCTTGAGAGAGCTACCTGATTCAAATAGCTTTATTCTGGAGGGAGGCTTTGGGGGTCAGTATGTCCAAATAGCAGTCAAATAGCAAGGAGCACCCCTATCTCTGGTCACTCTTGGTTTGTCCTCTCCAGCAGGGAGTGAGAGATCCCAGCTCCTGGAGGTGCTATCAGACTGAATCCCTTATGGATGCAGAAAGGCAGGTTGCGTTATCCCAAAAGACAAACTCTGCAAGCATGCGAGGGCAAAGGGACCAGCCTGCACCTGCTCTGGGCTTTGAGGAACTCAGCATCTTTTGAAGGTCTCTTTCAGCTCGATGCCCCCTGCCCTGCGAGAGCTGTACCCTTTGCAGGAAGAGGCACGGGCTGGGGACTATCCTGGGCAGCTGCAAGCACAAGCCAAACTGAAGGAATCAAAAATGCCATGCAGATGGCTTTACCTGGCATATCGGGTCTTCTGGAAATCCAGGACTCTGGACATGAACATCTTGACAGTGCCATCAGAGTCCAGCGCTGGTCCAGAGCTTGCCGAGGGAAGGAGGATGTGTCGGGGCGGTGGAGAGCAAACTCGGCAGGCTCAGCCCGCGAGGCAGCTCTCCAGCACGGCAGCGGGCAGAGGAGCCCGGGCTGTCTGAGAGCCGGGAAGGAAAGTGCTGCCTGGGGGAACTGCACCAACTTGGTCGGCTCCTTCTTTGTCTCTCAGCTCGGGCATGCGGAGGCGGCGGCGCCCGGGACCACGGAGCAGACCTCTCCGCGCGGCTGAAACGCAAAGGAGGAAAAACGAAGGCTGGCCTCGTCTTCCCCCTGCCCGCCCTCCTGTTGCACAAGAGAATAATACAGTGAAAACAAAGGCGAGCGAAGGGAGGCAGCCTGCGAGGGAGCCGCGTCCGGCTCGGGAACGATCAAATGCTCAAAGATGAGGAGGAGGCAAAGGAGGCGGGGGGGAATCCCATCCAACTCCGCCTGGCCACGGCAACCTGCACAATCTCCCTTATCCACCGAGGCAGCTTTAAGCACAGCTAAAAATACCCCCTCCTTCCCCCTCCCATGGATCAAATAGCAGCAGATTTGAATTGAAAATGTAATTAAAGCATGTGGGGGAAGGGAGCGGGGTGAGCTTCCCGGGCCTGCCCGGCTCCCCCAGCTCTTCCCCATCACCAGGGCTCCAGCCGCGCTCCCTGGGCACGGGGGGGACCCGCGGGGTCCCTGCCGGCGTACGGCCTGCCCCGGCCAGGGCCAGCCCACCCAGCATCCCCCCCATCCCGAGGGACTGCTGTGTCTGGCTTTGTTTCTATTTCTTGTCTTTTATTATTTTTTTATTTATTTGCCAGGGGCCCTAGCAAAGATGCCTGGCTCCGGCAGGCTGGGCTGTTGCCGCAGGGGTGCCCGGGGTCTGGGCGCAGCTCTGGCAAAGTCCAGCCGTCTCTCCACGCTCAGGACCAAAGGGATGGAGTTAGCCACGGGCTGGAGAGCCCAGCGCTGCTCTCTCCATCTCCGTCCAAAGCTTTTGCTCCCCCTGTCCTTTGCCCTGACTCGGTCCCTGGGGGAGGCTTTTTGTGGCCGTGCCAGCTCAGCATAGGGATGGGGGAAGCAGAGGGGCTGCGTGGAGTGGCAGCTTCAGTGCAAAGTAGGAGCTGCTCTCTGCGAGGGTCTGACCCTGTCCTCTCCCCTGCTGCCCTGGGATGTGGGATCCCGACTTGAATCCGAGGTCGGGGAGCTCCAGGGGGGACCTCAAAAGGAGATGGGCGGTTGCTGATAGACAGGCTGCCAGGCATTGGGAAGCGGTACTGGTTTTGAGTTGGTGTGAAACACCAGTTTTCATCCGTTTCAAATCATGCTTTTAAGCTGCTTTGTGTGGGCAGGTGAACCCTAAATCCCTCGGGAGGGGCACATGCGTACACATGCGACGCCTGTTTTAATTTGAGGCACTTTGAGCTTTCCTTTTGGCCATCCTCTACAAACCTGCAGAGACTTCCAAACGCAGCCTCTTCCTCCCGGGGTCGGGCTGGAGGTGCTGGAAAAGGGGCGATGCTCTGCGGCGCGCGACTTCGCGCCTGCACGTGTACAAGCAGCACACTGGTTCCCCAGCGCGAGGAGAGCTGGGGCCAGGCAGCAGGTTAAATTAGATGCTTAGAGCTGGGTATCAAGGTCTGCCTCCAAATCTCTGATGTACTGAAGTGCTCATTGCTCAGTAACCAGCAGACTCGCAAGGAGCCACGTATTTTATCTGGGAGAGGCTGAGGATAAACGCAGCTCTGGACCAGTGGAGGTGCAGTCTTGTAGGGATGCTCAGCTCTGCGTAGGGACAGGTAGAGCACCTCCTGGGATCTGACAGTTTTAAAAGAAGTCCTGCTGGACATGATGTCTTTGGGCTCCATTGCTTTGCTGCATAGATGGGTCAGGCACCAGGTCGAGATTTCCAGGCTGCCTTGACTGGCCGCTGCAGGGCTCCTGCAGGCCCCGGTGCCACCTCTCTTCTCTGGCTGAAGTCAAGGCCTCTCCGTCGCGTGATAGAAACCCTGGCATCCCCATCAAGGAAGCATGGGCAGGCAAGCAGGAGGCTTTCTCCTGCAGAAAACATTGGGTAAAATTTTGGGTGCTCTAGGAAGCAAAGATCAGCATGAATCATGACAACCCCAGCAGGACAGCGAGAGAGACCAAGAGCACCAGGGGAGCTGCAGCACATTCTCCACCATGGTCCTGTCTCCTGGGGATTCAGGCCAGTTTGGCCTCCATCCTGCAGCCTGGATGGAGAACCAGCCGAGCACAAGCAGGGCTGGGGAGCTGGAAGAAGCATTCAAGGACGTGGGGCTGACGGCAGCAGGACCCCAGGAGGCGTGAGAGGTAGCAGAACATCCTCATCTTTGACAGGATCTTCCCAGTTTATCTGGGACAGCCAAGCCCTGGGTGAGAGTGGCAGGTCCAAACCGAGATGCTCAGCGAGATCATCTCCGAAAACCGCTCCCACGCTCTGCCACTTAGCTGTGAAGATTTGTTTCAAGTTCCTTCCCCAGCCTGCAAGATGATGAGGTTTTGGTAAAGGCTATTTAATGATGCCTCTTCCTTCCTTTACCTTTCTCTTGGCCTGGGCGGGGGAAGGAGAGAAAATGGTGATAAGCTATATTTAACGAAATAGCCCCTGTCCCCAAAGCCTCCGTCCTGTCCCCAGGATGGGGCCAGGAGTGTGGAGTTCATCGGGAGAGGGACACCTGGAGTGAACCATCCGTCCCGAAATAGATCTGCCTCAGAGGGCAAAAGGCAAATTGAATGAAAAATAAGTTACTATTTTTGAAGCCTGAATTCAGTTGTTATGGCAACGAAAGCCTCCCGGATCATGCTGCGGAATAACTCCAGACCGAGCGCTGCCTCTAAATCCCATGGCCGGAGAATTGCACACGGCCAAGACCTGCTCGATGGTGGGAGACAGAGAGGTGCGTTCACGTGCCGTCCCGGGAACGGGCCCGGACACATCCCTCCCGCGCAGGCGGCCTCCCTCGGGCACCAGCTGGCCAGGGCACTGGCTTGCTTTGCTTTCCTCCCCCATCTCTGGCTGCCTCCCTCCTTCTTGCAAAGATCTGGATAATTGCTAATTATATCCAGGAGAGTTTCCAAGATTCAGGAGCAGGAAAACTATCCCCCTGCATTCATATGCAGTGGCATTTTGTTTAATGTCGCCAAAACAGGGGCTCTTGAACAGTTTTCCTTTAGAGGAGGAATGGGCCACAAAGCCAGCGCAGAGCTGCTCACTCCCCAAAACAAGCAAGGTCCCAAAATATGCAGGAGCTGCATAGCTGGAGACACCTGTGGGGACCTCTGAGCTCTTTTCAGCCAGCATCCCACCCAAAAGCTCTCTAGGACCTTTTGGCACGCGACAGCACCGGTTCAAGCTCTTCGCTTCTCAATTCCTTCTCACCACTCCTCTAAGCTGAGCACCCCGGAGAGACACCGGTCCCAGCTCAGCCGCGTCCCCACGGAGGCGGGTGTCGG